AGACACATATAAGCATCAGATTAAAATTTATAAATTGACTTGCTTCCTGTGTGTCGAGTACACGTTCGCTGTGCACTTACTGTGTTCTTGCTTACGTAGCTGGGAGAAGGCTACTAGTGCTCGTGGCGTCCAACCTGTGCTGTAATCGTACTCGTGAGGCTAGACGAATAGTGTGGCCGTTGAGGTACGTGTGTTCCTCGTGTGTCATCGTGTGACATCTTGTTGTGTGTACATTGTGATCAAACGAGATCCGGACACAACAGTTTAGGTGCTGNGCTGTATTTCCATTTTGATCAATAATGATAGTTGTTTGACAACACTGCGCCTTCCATTTCTGTAAGCCCTTTCTTTATCACGACAAAGCCGTTTTAGAAGAGGCGAATAGAACCAATTCGAATATATAAGGTCTCAACTGGGCAACACAGATCATAACAAAAATTAAGATAATATGTAAGATGCTCACAACTGGAAGAGTTGTGAGCGTTGGCAAAGACAGAGAAATCGGTAAATGAAACCATATCTTTAAGTTTGGATAAGTTTTTTTAGGAATGTGACTACTCCTCCTGATGGTTCTCGATGTGGAACGGTTCATATGGTGCTGAATATATTTGCCGTAAATCTTAGGGTGCAAAAAAATGGAGCAGCGATCGGAGCTATGGGAGCCCGCTTCCGAATGAAAAATATATCGGGGCTGTTTACAAAAATCCTATTAAATTGAGTACCAAGCCGGGTAGGAAAATTTGCATGATTCGTCAAGCTTAAAGTTGTAAGGAGAGATATATTAAAACGATTGAAATCACCACCAGCAATGCATAAAGACTGGTCTAAACTGGTTATAAGTTGTGAAGAGAAGGAGTCGACAAACAGACGAATATCAGAGACAGGCGTGTCAGGAGCGATGTATACATTCACTAATGTAATATGATGAAAGTGATTGATAAATCGGGGCTTACAATAAACAGAAATACAATTTATCTTGGCAGTAGGAAATTGAAAACAATTACGAGCGTTTTTGCACCATTTCTTGTTGACGAAAGGGACTACTTCATCACCTCTGTGAAGGAGATTCACATTACGGTCGCCTCGGAATATGTCTAATCCATCAACATGCACGACGTTGTCCTCGATATCAGGGTGTAGCCAGATTTCCTGAACTAGAATAGCCCCTACATTCTTGCATTCCTCCTGGTGTATCATGCTCCTGACATCATCGAGTTTTCCGATGAGCGAACGAGTGTGACATGAGAAAATAGACGGAACAGTCAAATTATCAACAGAACGACGCCTAAGCGCCACACGCCAGCCAGCACATTGTTTTTAATGGTGTCACTGACCAGATTTTTGCAGTCGTTTGAATCGATTTCTCACTGAATGGGCAAAAATAAGAAACTGATGTTTCTGCGCGATAAACTGCAAGGATTTCAAAAATCTGGCGTTGTAGGACAACATTTGACCTTGAGAATATAACAAGTTGATTCAAAAGTGATGATCATGCGTTTCTGTACTGTAACTTCACGAAAAAATATTCCGCGATAACAAGGGACTGCCAAATTTAAAGGCCCGATTCCGATTTAAATTAAAATTGTACAGGGTCTTTTAAACCATGGTAATTTAATCTTTGAATATAACTAATGCGTGCGCAAGTGTGGAGTAAGACGCACAATAATAACCTCACGCGATTACGTGTCGGCTTCCTGTTCCTGAAGTTGAGTGGAGAGATGGCTTGAGGGCGGGGTTGTGAAGAGGAATAGCAATAACTTTTGTCACTGGTTGTGCAAAGAGGACAGAAAACTGCATGAAAGTTGACAATCGGATTGGATTGCCATCACCGCAATTCTTGTCACTAGTTAGTTGGTTAAATCAATCCTGGGGCTAAGCTTCTCAATGCGATCTGATCGATGCCTGATGCTGAAGATTCACTGGAGCAGGTGATTCAGCCCAAACACAAAATGAGGCTGTCTGTTTTTTGAGTGAAAACCGAACCCACTGAGAAGTAAATGTAACTTAAGGTATTTGCATCGGAAGGCAGATTTATCGCTCAAATCTATTATCTCTGACAAAACATTGG